CCGTCTATTTGTCTATAGTAAGTATTGTTGAAGACAAAATGTACATTCAGAGTGCATCTTAGGAGCAGTTCTCTTAGGATATCGTTAGGCAGGCCAATGTTGATTTGTTTCTTTGATAATTGCTTGCATATAAAATCAATAGTCTCTATAAGTGGTACGTTGGTAAACAAAGATTCTACATCCAATGAGATCATATTTTTCATACTGACATTAATATTTTCTACTTTGGAGGTGAAGTTGAAGACATCTTTTACACTATTTCTAACAACTGATTTGTGTAAAGGTTCTAGGATTCGTACTAGCCACTTTGCGATTTTGTGGTAAGGAGAATTGTACATATCTAGAACTGGGCGTAGAGGAAGACCCGATTTATGTACTTTAGGCAAACCATACAATCGTGGTGTAAATGATCCAGTCAGCTTAATTGAATCGTAAATCTCAGTCGTAATTATTCCCTTTTTCGTTAGATCTTTAAGGAAATTGGCCAATTGTCTTTCTACTTTATTATTGATGTCACAATTACTAGTAATTTTCTGAAATTTGCTAGAATCGCTAAGCATTGTTTCCATTTTTCCCATGTAATCATTTTTGTTCATGAGAACTATACCTCCTCCTTTATCTGGTTTGGTTATGGTCAGGGTTTCATCTTTTCTTAGTTTCATTAAAGAGTCACGGTGCTGCTTGGTTAGTAGGTGATTTATGGTACCCTTACTATTCTTGTATTGTTGGCAGCTATCAACTAGTGTGGTTTTAAACCGAGCAAGGTCATCCAATGAGGTAGGAATCAAGTCAGTTGTTTGTGAAAATAAATTCTCAAATTGTACATCAGTATCTAATTGGTTGATTCTATGTCTACTATCACAGAATTTAGGTCCCAGAGATAAAGCTTCTAGCTGTACTACATCTAGTTCAATATTGTCATTAGGCAACAGAATAGAATGCATAGGTAGAATGGGGGATGAATACTGTCAAGCGACTAACACAGTGGGAGTAATGTTCAGTTATATAGACAAGTGGTCATATTCCAACTTAATCGATATGGTGATCAAAACGGTTGAGGAAAATACTCATAAGTGAGGTATGGATGGGTGAATAATTAATGACATGACGGTGGTTTATGAAAGTTGTATAGGACTGACAGCTATCGGTTCATCATAACTTCCTTGATTGAAGGATCCTAGAGGAGGTGTAACTCAACGAGTTGAGATGTTATTATACATGACTTGAAACAGAAACCAATGGCAATTCTACCGTAGTTTTCTTTTACATTTTTCATAAAAATAAGAGAAACTCTCTTAAGTGAAAAAAATTCTTCATAAGTGTATTGTTTTAAAACTGAATTGTCATTCCTACTAATAATCTAATAATCATTTACTCATTTCTATCCATTTATTGATTTAATTATACTTTCTTGCCTTCCTTTGTCTCTTCACAATCGCCAAACCAATCTTTATTATTTTATATCCCAATGGATATATATTCCCTATACTTAAAAATTTGAAGAACCCTTCGACAGTAAAGGAACTTAATGGGTTTCCGCATCTTTACAATCTCATTATCTTATTTGCGTTGCGTAAATTGATTTTGGTGTCTGTTGGGGTGATCCAGAAAACTCGCAAAAGACAAGAAAGGCTCAGGAAGCACTAAGAAGCATTTTATCCAATCAGCGTTCAGTTGAAGTTTAGCCAGAAACATCTAGAAAATGAAAAGTCACATGTAGAGTTGCTGATTGGATGATTACTATACTGCTACTATGTTTAGTAACATTCCAGAATTTTCGAGAAACCCAAGGACATCTGAAATACTATAAAAACTCTATATTTTCTGTACCAAAACGAACTTTCGGAGTAAAGTAATTCTCGCATACTTTGCGCCTTTTCTCATGTGTTAAGGTCGATGCATAGTTCTAGCTTGGGGATTACGAGAATAGATTAAGAATTAAATATAGTGTTCAATTAGCAAGATTTATCAGTGTCAATTTATACTAGTACATACGTGATTTAAATAAATAAATAGATTGACACAAACCAATTAACACTAAGAATTAGACAAAAACAATATTGGCTACTATACAGTAAATCAATCAGCATAGATGACTGCATGATTTTTGTTCCAAGATTAAGTAGTAGAAGTGAGAAATTTTGTTGATTTTTCCTTGACTAAACCACAAACGTGACTGGTTCTCTTGGAGTTAATCGCTGTAAACTAATGACTTTTTCATGATTAACGATAGTCCATCAAACCCTTGTATCTTAACCTCTCACTTATTCTGTGATAACGGTCACATGAATGAATCCGGTCAATCAGCGATCAACATAGAATCTGGTACAAATTTACATCAGTTCAAGTTAACACATCAAATCAACAAAGTGAAATGAAACCAACAGGATTAGTACTGAAATAGTAGAAATGGTAATAGTAACATAATAGTATGAAAGGCATAATTTCAGTTGGATAGAATTACAGAATAGAAAAATGCGATGTAACACTAAAAATCGAAATGTATAAGGATATAAATAATCAACCGTTCATCTACCTCACAAGTACGAATGATTTTGATTCATATCACCCAACATCTGTAACTTGTAAGCAATTATCACACCAGTTCTTTATAATTCCATCTTAATGGAGGTATTAACTCCGCCTGGAGTCCGTCTGAGGCTACTGTCGATCCAAAGCCCGGATAAAGGAGGAGGGTTGGGCATGGGGGTTAGCGACCCCATCCTGTAGAAAAATGGCTCGTTAAAAAAACGCTAACTAGGAAAAATAATTCAAACCATTTAAACTCTGCCCTGGGAGTTAGAAGGACTTCATTTAGAAGAGGAGTTATGATACCTTACGATGAAAGCCTAGTTCATTCGGAATTCACAAGGCCTATGACCCTTCTAACAACCAGAGCTACAATTTTTATAGGTACATGGAACGTCCGGACAATGTGAGAGACCGGGAAGACCAGTAATAGAGATATTAACAGAGGAAGAAAATAGACCAGAACATAACAAAGTTGTCTTAATTGTATACATATCAATCGGTCAGTCGAAACCAACATAGAATTTGGCACATATATGCATTGGTTCAAATCGCCATACAATACATTAGCAAAGATAGATACAATTATTAAGAGTAGTAGAGTTACTAACAGTATCATTGGTAATGGAAAAGATCACACTTAAACAAGATGGATCAAGTGTAATAACATTCAGCTAACCAAAATGAAGTAGGTGATAGCTATTCAGGATTGGCAGTTAATAGTCGAGATTGCTACAATTGATTAACTATAAAATCATTATTTAATCAACTACAATGAATAAGGATAACAAAAAAGGACATTATGCAAATCGCAATTCGTTACAACTAAGGTGTTATGTATTGAATATGATAGAGGACAAAACATTCTATATGTAAAATGACTTTTTACTTTGACGAAAAAGATGGATTGTCAGAACTATGTGATATATTAGCGGAATACATTTCGAACAATCTGATCACACATATACTTGTTAAGAACATTTATATATATAAAGAAATAAATGGTCAACTAGACTGGAAATAGGGTAAGAGGAGACAAGGATACAGATTCATGTAATGGGCTTTAAGTTATACTTATTATGTGAGAGCTAGTGGTAACACCCAGTTGTCGAAACAGAAATTGGTAGAAACTGATGAAAACTTTATTAGTGTCACATCTGACTGACTACATTTAAAACTACAACATCTCATTCGGACTATTAGTTAGTTACTTTTAGTCTGAACGTCCTCCAATTGACCCGTCAAATATGGTGGAATCTGAAGGAATAAATGTTGGAGCTAATATAGCTCTATTGGATCATCAGGATATGCAACACCGACCACTATATCAAAGTAACAGTTATAGAAATCAGGTGATTATAACCATTGATTGGAGAAGAAATAATCATATTAAGGGCTATCTAAGCAAAACATTATCATGTTTTAAGAGGAGAGGAACATTCATTGTTGTTTGTTCTGGTGAAGTTGTCTAGCATAATAATCTTGAAATGTTATTTAGTACAAATGGTTTTGTATGGTTGAAAATGCATATGTTTTTAACTTCATCTCAAAACGTACACGATGCTGATCGTATCAATGAATGTAGATTAACAAGTAGAAAATAAGATATGCCCAACACTTACGTCGATACGCGTACAAAATCATAAACTCATAGATTGCTTAAGAAAACGCAAAAACTTTGAATATAATGATGCTAGAAAAATTTCTAGGAGCGTGGTATTTAAATCAACCTGAGATCAATAAATAAACCAACATAAACTGAATCTATCAACCCGAGCACAAAAAATCAATCGGTCAAATAACCAGAGGTCAACTAAACAAAACAATCGACGAGTGTACGAACTAGCCTTATGAAGAAAACAAGTGACAAACGAGGTCATAAGATGCGATTAGTTTGACATATATGTAGAAAAATTTCAAAAGGTATGGTTCTATTTGAATTAGGCACTGATGATATTGTTTGTAATGACAATGAGAACTTTGCAGTTAGACAGTTCACCTTAGAGAATATAGTATCAATAAATGAAACTACTTGAGCCAAAAATCTTCTTTATCATGATACTAACATATTTATAGCCTCTTTCAGAGGACTTACAACAAACACTTCCTTAAATTAGCTTACATACTTTCTCCTGAAAGTATAGAAAATGTGAAAACGAATTTTCGGCTCTTGAAACTAACCACAAGCTAACGATGGTCTAGTCAGAAGTAACAGAAAACTGACCAAAATACAAATGAATAAATAAGATTTAGCTTCAGAAGAAGCAAAAACTATATAAAGTTTAGTTTCCAGCTTCAGAGTGATCAGTTAATAGTAATTCAAGAACACCTTTTAATCAACGAGCCATAGTTTCGAATCCCAAGTCGCCTTCGTCGCTTTGAATAACAAGGTATCATCACTACTACATATTACACTCAAAATTAAAAAAATTAAGGAAAGACAACAACAACAACAACAAGATGTTACTTACCTGTGTATAATATGTAATACTTCACGTAAATAAACTAGACCACGTATTACAGAATATAATATTTTAGCAACAATTGGTTCAGGTAAACGACCAGCATGTAATAGAACAATGTCTAAACTTCCACCATCCATGTATTCCATACATAAACTAATATCACCATCAGCAAAAAATGCACCATAATAACCAACAATGTAAGGTGAATTACAATCATGTAATACCTGAAAGTAAATAATCAATGGAAAAGAAAATACATGAACATAAAAAGGTGAGGTGAATCAATATCTCAAATAGTGAAGCTAGAAGTAATATAGGTTCAAATCATCAAGATTGTAGGTAAGTGGCATATAGTACTATTTCACATCTACACGACCTATATTAACTTAAGTATGGTCTATACATGTGTGTATACTTGAACATGTGCTTGTATACTTATTTATTTGCATCTCTTTCATGTTTAGAAAAACTGAGTTACTTATTACTCAGTGAGTTGGTTATTTCTACCACTCCATGTATGTTGATATTAACGGGATGCGCCGACAGAATATATACAAAGTAAATAGGATATACATTTCATTAACATAAATATAATTCCATCATTATAGAGTCAGACATAGTGTACTTAAGGTATACTCTGTTGGCAAGTACCCTATTAGCATCATGAAACATAAGTCAAACAAGATATCCTAGAAACAACCTCTAACCATTTTAAAAACCGAATTACTGTATAAATATTTATGTAATTCTTCATTGTAAGACCACTACTGATAGGATTAGCAGGAAAAAGAACTTTAAATTTGTTTATGTTTAACCTCAAGTGTTCGGTAGCTAAAACAAAGATTAGTATAAAGTGGAAATTATGAGATATTGTATACCATAGAAGTTGTACAATCCATTTATTTAGTAGTTAGACAATACATAAAAAAACGAACATATTGTGCTATTCCAATTATCACACTTAGTAAAGGATTATTTACAGTCTTGACAGACATTATATATGTGAAAAGGGTGACAGTGTTAGTAATCAGAAAGAGAAACTAAATTAAATGAAGTAGAGTTAAAGTCTGTGACGTACTACTGACTGAATGCTATCAACTTCAACTAAACTACAATATGGAAATGAAAACAAATAAACATTTCATCTAAACACAAAGAAACAGTAATTAGGAGAAAAATAGTCAGTCAGCTACAACGTAGGACCAGGCATATATATGCATTGGTCCAAGTCGCCACACCTCATTAGCACAACAACATGAACATCATATTCATAGAAGCAGTGACTTCAATGGTAGTAAGATATAAAAGAAAGATAGTGTATAAGGATATAATAAAGGAAGAAAGAATTAGTTCATAGAAAGAAAGATATAAAGCAATTTTAATCTCATAGTTTAAGGGAAGACAAAGAGTGTATACACCTACACTGCTGTGATCGATTCTGAACCATGTCACTATGAGTCTCCAATCATTGATTACGATAGTCAAGCGGACACTAACCAGGTAGTCTGCATCTACCAACATGGCTCAGACTAGAAGTTAGGGACTTCAAGCACTGATGCCACGTTTTGGTTTGGCCACCCCTAACTTTCTTACAACCATCCCCAACACCAGTTAGCATTGCGCGTCGTGGTAATCCGTGTTCAGCCATACGCAACACGTGGCCCAAACATCTCAGTCGATGAAGATTTACAACCTCATCAACTGATTTACCACCATTCCCTAATACCATGCGTCTAACCTCACTAATACTTACCCGGTGATCCCATTAGATGCGAGCAATATTTCTAAGACATCTGTGATCAAATATTATTAACTTATGAGTATCTTCTACGCTTAATAGCCACGTTTCACACCCGTAAAGTAAAACAGAACGAACTACCGCACAGTATACTTGTCCTTTTATTGATAGACGGATATCTCGACTTCGCCATAGGTGACGTAAGTTGGCAAAAGCCAAACGAGTTTTTTGAATCCGTGCTGAGATTTCATCAGTCACTAACCCATTAGGGCTGATCAGACTTTCAAGATAAGTGATGTTGTCAACGCGTTCGACTACTTCACTCCCTATCCTTAGTTCAGGAGTTGACGCAGACCAGTCGTGAAGCAACAACTTGTATTTAGAGGGAGAGAAGCGCATTCCAAACATTCTGGCATTGTTGCTCAGTGCTACCAAAAGAGTTTACATTTTATCAGCATCTTTACCAAACACGACTATGTCATTTGTGTATTTTAAGTCGATAAGTGAACCTTCCTGGTAGTAGATCAATTCTTGAATATTCAGATGACAAAAAAGGTGATTTCTAGTCATAGAGAATAAAAAATATATAATTCATTCATATTATTATTAGTTAATACAATAACTTACTTGTAATTCACGTATAATTTGTGTTTTAACAATTGGTTTAATTTCTAAATGAATATTTTTTTTAGCCATAATTAAACCAGTTGTTGTATGACGTACACGACTAACTACACCACCATTACCTTTACCTAATTCATTTAATTTTTCAAAATCTTCTGGATGTAATTCACCAATTTTTTGTTTATCTGCTACAAATGCACTTAATCGACGTCGTTGATTATCATCTAAATCTTGTATTGCTAATTGTTTTAAACTAATTATAAAAAGAAAAGAAAAGAAATTGAAGTTAAAAGTTAGTACTTATTTTGAATGAAGTTTAAAAGTTTAGCTATACATTGAATTATCGTCTCTGTGCCCGAATACACGATGCCGAACCTCTGCATTACTGACATGGTGTTGCCACTGGATGTCAGCAATCCTTCGAAGACAACGATGAACGAACACAGAGTCGTCTAACGTACTCAACTCGGAGAGGCCAGGTTTCACAAGCATAGAGCAAAACTGCTCTCACCGACGCGTTGTAGATCCGACCATTTACAGCCAGACTAACATCACGAAGGCGCCAGACGTGGTCCAGCCTAGCATAAGCCGCTCTGGCTTTTACTATTCGTGCATTGATCTCATCACTCACACCCCACCAGCACTTATGTAGATACCCAGATACACGAACTTCTCGACTACTTCTATCTGTTCACCATCCAGGGTGAGTAAAGGATTAGAATCCTGCCAGTCTTGTAGAAGTACTTTGCACTTCGAAGGTGCAAAGCACATACCATACCTACGGACACTGATTGCCAACTGATTAAGTGCGGATTGCATGGCTTGGAGATTGTCGCACAGTAAGACAATATCATCCGCATACTCAAGGTCGAGAAGTCTTTCTTCAGGCAACAGATCCACACCGCCATTACTTACATCCATCAGAGCTGTTTCCAGAATGTCGTCGATGGCAAAGTTGAAGAGGAATGGTGCTTGTATATCGGGCCTTTAAGATGTTAATAAACTTCTCAGGCACACCCTTCTTCAACAGACAATCCCAGAGAACAGTCCTGTCCAACGAATCGAAGGCAGCCCTGATGTCAAGAAACACTACGATTGTTGGCCTTTGAAAAGTATGACGGTGTTCTAACATTTGGCGGAGGGTGAAGATATGATCAATACATCCTCGACCAGAACGAAACCCAGCCTGCTCCTCGCGAGTCAATCTTTCTCGGGTTTTGAACAACCTACGAAGTATGACGGAAGCCAATAGCTTGGACGCAATCGGAAGTAGACTTATCCCACGATAGTTGTTACAGGAACGACGTGAACCCTTTTTAAAGATACGGACAACTATCGACTCATTCCATGACGTTGATACACTCTCCAGTTCCCAGACCTTTGTAAACAACGCTGTCAGTTCCTTAGCAAGAAAGTCCCCACCATCTTTAAAAAGAACCGGAGGTAAGTCATCTGGGCCAAATGATTTGTAGCGTTTCAAGAGTTGGAGTTCCTTGGGGGTTCCGCCTCATTTGGTGGATCAGTCGCCACCGGCCATGGAGGGCAGGACAGTCTGACCGATGTTGCAGGAGCAGCAGGCCATTTGAACTGCCGTTCGAAGAATTCTGCCCATCGTCCAAGACGTCGATGGATGTTAGTGATTGGCATCCCATCATCCTCACAGATTGTTTCGCTCACACCAGACTTCTTGCTGCCAGTGGCTCGGATGAGTTGGAAGAGCGTCCGGTAGTTACCAGATGCAGCTGCTGCTTCCAGCTCATTAGCACGCATCGACCACCAGGCTTCTCGGTCCTTACGCAAGCTTTGCCCAATTTCCTTACGTAACATCCTTCGTTTATGGTCAAACTCACGGTCACCCGGAGTAGACCGACGGGCTTAAATGAGTTGTAAGGAGCCTGAAGAAACCCAGTGCTTGTAAGCGGGACGTTTTGCAAACCCACAACTGACTGTACTCGCCGTTTTCGTGGCGTCATGCAATTGCAACCAATGCTCATCTATACTTTTCGGTGGAGTGGTAGCTAGCCTAGAAGCTAGCTCGGTCCGATACTTACTAGCAACAGAAGTTGCAACCAACTTGCTGACATCAATCCATTGGTGGCGATCACTTCGTTGGCCACTGAAAAGTAAGGTAAGATTGGCGCAGACCAAGACATGGTCAGAGTCCAGATAGGTACTCCAAAAGGAGCGGCAGTCATGCACACAACCACGCCAGAGGTAGCTGATCGCGATGTGATCAATCTGAGTCCAGGCTTGAGACGCGGAGGGAGGACGCCAGGTGACACATGGGTGATGACTGTGTCAAAAGTTAGTGCTAGCCAGAAACAGGTTATGGTCTGTGCACAGTTGCAGTAGACGGTCCCGGTTATCTGACCTGCGACCAACGAGTCTCTACTATGCCTAGACACCCAAGCTGAACATTCAAGTCTGCGGTTAGTACTACAATATCTGTCGAACGCACTTTCTGGAGAAGAACTGATAACTAGTGGTAAAACTCATCCTCGATTGCATCCGGGCTGCAATCTGTCGGAGCATAGGTGGAGATGACGAAAAGACATCGTTTCTCACTCCGATTTCTTCTTACTTTGATGGGACTCTCTGATATGACAGCACATAACCGACTGTTAATGGGGATCCAACCGATAAGTGCTGCCTCAGCTCTAGCGCTTAGTGCGACACCAACGCCAGCAAGACCAGACGAAGATGCCACAGGGTCCCCGGATAAACGCACGTAAAACAAGCTTTTTGAATCGACAGATGGAGAGCTAATTTGTAGTACTTCACCAGAGTCTTGAATACGGGTCTCGGATAGACAAAAAACGTCAATATTAAGACTTTCCAAAGACATAGCCAGCCCTATCTGTTGTCCGACCTGCATAAGTGTGCGAACGTTGAAGGCAACCAGTTTGAATGGTGCACGTGGTTTCAGAAAAACTGCTTCAGTATTGGTATTTGGTGGTAGCATACAATTTTCAACCAGGCAGTGACTCGAGAACGTTTAGATAAAACCGAGCTTCCACCATAGGCGAGCTGCTGTATAACTCGAAAAATAAGGATATATAAAGTGGGAATAAAAGAGAGTGAATAAATGATGTAGTAAATAATAATAATAATAATAATAATAATAATAATAATAATAATAATAATAATAATAATAATAATAATAATAATAATAATAATAATAATAAGAAGAAGAAGAAGAAGAAGAAGAAGAAGAAGAAGAAGAAGAAGAATGTGAATCGTTTGACTGTAAATCGAAGCGAGAATAGAATTTTTAATAAATATCGTCATTTTCATTTTATTTGTGTGTGGACTGTGATACTGAACGGGTGCCCAGACCGAAGCAGGTGGTTTTCTTAGGGGGCCACACGCCGAGCTTTTGACCTAAAAGTCTGATCCACAAGGCACTGGGATCCGGTTAAAGCGCCGGACATTCGCTTTTCGTCCTCCCATTTTCGTAGACAACACACCCCCGTCACGAGAAGGCAGTGAGTAGGAATTCCCTGGCAGAGGCTGTATACGCATGGCCATGTGAGCATTTCGAGAGGGAAGGCGAGCCCATCCCACTCGCGGCCATACCAGGGCATTTGGGGGCAGGCTAACAATTATGGTGGTCCTTGATATTATGGTCAAATTCGACTCGCAGAATAGGAATTCTCTTGTGTTGTCTATTGAAGAAGGCTGTACATGGGAAGTTTATCAACATTTTGAAGGCCTTACATACAAACACCTCAGGCAGGATGACGACGTAAAACCACTTCTCTCTTCATTGTTTCATTCAAGTAGTGGAGTAAGTCAGGGTTGCATAATTTCACCATTCCTCTTCAACTTCGTTATCGATGACGTTCTGGAAACAGCTCTGATCGATGTAGGTAGTGGTGGTAGTGTGGACCTTCTATCCAGAGAAAGGCCTTGTGCACTCGAGGATTATCTTACAGAGAAGAAGGGAAGTCACAGCCTTGTAGTTCATAGAAGACTACGAATAATATCATGTGATAAGACCTATCCTAGATTTGCTAGTGCCAGTTACAGACATTCGATCTGCACCAAGCAACGGATCTATTAATTCAGGTGTTTAGATGTGTAATGAATAAACGACTATAAATCCATTTCGATAGAGCTCTTACAACTCATCCAGAAGTACTTGTCTTTCGACGATGCACTGAAAGCTATGTGGTATTATGATGTATTATTACTAAATAAGTACACAACAGAATACAAAAAGACGTGCAAATAAAACTATTTAATACAAGTATATATAGATAGAACCTACACTTCAGCAACATCAACAGGTCCTGTGCTGATCCTATTTGAATAACGATGTTCATTGTTTCGATCGCCTCTCGGGCTAAATAGATTATCGTTTGACGGCGTATGGGTTTTCTTTGGAGACAAACGAAGATCTGTGAGTGGTGGTGGGATTCTACGATGCACAGAATGTGGATGTGAATGATGAGCACTTGGTCGATAGATACTAGTTTGTTGAGATGTTTTCACAGGCTGAGATGAATTCGTTAGATTATTATTATCATCCAATTTATCTGATAATGATGTAGCTTTTGAAGTTCCATTCCTTTGTAATGATTCTTGTAAACTATCTGAAGATTTATTCAACTCGGCATTTGTGACAGGTTCTTCAGATTTTTTATCTGTTGTAGAACAATTATCTGATGATTGGATAGCAGAACTCGGAAGTGTAAGATTCAACCGATTACGTCTACTTCCACTTCCAGAAGATGTTGACATTTAATTAAATCCAAATAGTGTACTGTAAAAGGATGGGGAAAATTTTAAAAAATTCTTGGAATAGGTATCAATTGATAAAATTTAGTTTAAAAATGTCATATAGACGCATGTCGATTCAATTAGTCAAATCATCTGAACAAACAATAGTAACATCGCTTTTCACTACCTTTTATTAGCATCTACTATATACATTTGCAAACATCAGTAATGAGTTCATAAATGTCTAATGAAATATTGTTGCTTCTTTAAATATTAACCTCTTTAAATTAGTTAAGTAGAATAATTTCTGTATTACTTACATGTCACTATCAAATAATTCTACCAAAACCTTAGATTAACAGTTTTAACTTTTTTTTACTATACTTCTGCTACAAAATAGATTACTCCACATAAAACGAAAGAATACAAACTTTACACATATATGCATTCGTTTAAATTATTATACTTCATAAGTGTAGACGTAGTAAGATACTGAAACGATTAAAAATATAGAATAACAAATTAATAAAGGAAGAGTTGGCTTTCCCTCTCCAAATGCTCTCGCATCGCCACGTGCATACAACCACTTCCAGAGAAGTCCCACTCAATGACTTCTCGTGACATTACTATTGTTTAGGAAATTGACAGGACGAAAAGCGAAAGTCCGGCACGTTAACTGGGTTGGTGAACACGGAGAGTTCACCTAGGGGAGTTGGAAAACCCTGATTCAAAACCAATGGTGCACATAGGCTACAGGATCCTGAAGGAACAAATGGCGTATGAACCAATCATTGGTCATTGGCTACCATGGGACTGCATCTCCTGATGTTGCTCCACTGCCTTTTAGATCAGACCTTTGGGTCGAAGGTTCTGGATGTGGCCCCCTAAAAAAACCACCTGCTTCGGTTTGGGCACCAGGGCAGTAACATCGACCACACACAAATCAAGTGAATTGTGTGGCGCATATGTATTCGGTGCTTCTTCGTGCCAATATTTGTGTTCAAATAAATAAAAACCATTGCGATGCATTTCTAACAACTGATTACTAGCAATAATTGATGCAATTATCCATCAGTAACTGGTTTGTCTTATTTATGTATGTTTAACATCACAATTTACTCAAGGAATTTATTAGGTACAATTTTAGCAAAAGCTAAATGAAACCACTGTGTCTGTGTTTTCTATACTTCTTTTCAGAAAAATGAGGCGTCGAACAAGTTTAGTCAGTTCGATTTCTATGGTTGACATTTCTGATGATCACACCTTGGCGAAAACAGTTCAAGCAGTGGTACAATGGATCAATAAGTGTTTGGTCCGAATATTTTCAGCAACCTCATCTGGGGTATATTGAATCGGAGGAAGGATATCCTCTCCACTAAAAATCATTATCATGTCTGCGTATCGACTGGAATGCTACCGGAGAGCCCCAGTCGGACAGGAGGATTTCCTAGAGAGGCCTTCTGGCCTTTGACCTAGAGTTTTAATCCACAAGATAGCAGAACAATAACAGGAGATTCAAAATGGGTTTGAGTACCATGTTTTTTCAGGATCCTGCGGTCTATATGCTTTATTTATTTGAATAAAGGTTTACTAACAATCCTAGCTAAATCCTCCCTATTCATTCACAAATCAAAGTTACAGATATCCGTTTTTCGTCCTTTTACCTTTGCAAAAACACCGCCACGTGAATGACATTATCTTTAGTATTGTGACAGGTATAAAGATGGTTTCGACTTCTTGATTGCCCAAACTGTGGAAGGATACTTTATGAGGTACTTGAAAAGGAGACTATGTGTTGTCTTGACGACCTGAGGGTATAAGTACAATATTCAAAGGATAGCTGCTTAGGGCCGTTTACACGTGACCTGCTTTTGAGTTCTTGACGTTAGTTCTTAAATTTTAGGGCCTTACTCCGGTGACAGGAGGTGGTGTTCTATTTTTAGAGTCCACCTTTTCTGGGAAAGATGAATCCGTAAGCTCGTGCTTCAAGGCCGAAAAGATCAATTGGTGTTCCAAGATCACATGGTAGGTGAGAGAAACAAAAGTGGTTTAGATCAGGTAATCTACAACTACCAACATGGTTTACACCAACAATCCATGGCTTCATGAGCAAGTGCCGTGTCTTGGTTTGAAAGTTGTCATCTTTCCTCCAACTGAGGTAGTTTCGGTAATGTTGATTAATTTGTACGAATTGTGCACCTCTGGAGATCAAGAATGAAGAATATTTAGATAGAAAAAGTAAAACTATCGATAATAACAGATTTTTACAGCGTACTTTACTTGGCTATTAGTGAAGAAAGTAAAGTTCTAGTTTCCCACTATCATATGACTATGGTGAGCTTACAAATCTTTTCGACTTTATTCTCGTAGTTTTAACTGAAAACGATCAATATCCGTATTTATTAATTCGGGTCGTGACTTGTTAGAAACTATATACTTTTTACGTAAAAACATGCTATATGAAACAGATATAAATGTCACTGCAATAAAATATCTATGCTTTAAAGACAGTCGAGCTTCAAAACCCAGTTTTTTTCTACTCAGTAATAAGAATACGGAGTTATCAGCATACAATATTTTAACAAGCTTCCAAGTGCTTTTTTATACGTTACAAGTAGACGTGCATATATAGCATTATAGAACATTCAATTAAATCTTTGTAAAGAATTAAGAATCTAAACAACATGTTCAAGAATATATCAGCTCTTACAATTTGTTTATCATATAATAGATGTGCTAGGTACACTTATATAGAGCTTTTGCATTTCCGCCTATACCCGAGAATTCTAGTGTATCTGCATCTTGTTGCACCGGAAGATATCCAGAAAAATGTGAATCATCTTGATGGTTGGTATATGATAATACTTTTTAGTTGTTTCAGTCACTCAAACGCAAAACAGAACCTAGTACATATGTACATCAGTTCAAGTTGGCGTACACCATAGCGAATCCCAGAGTATTAGGGGTAGTAATAATATAAATCGCAATACAATAGGTTAGGGGTTGAAGATAAGATTCACGACCATATAAATTAATGAAACGAACAACCTTATGAGGGATTTAGAAGCTTAGGATCTAAGGGAAGACATAGACTGGATGAACCTGCGCCATTGAAAAAAATTTTGAGCCATTTCACAGAAAGTCTCTCTTAGTTGTATGCAGGATTTCAAATGTTTATCCACAATCATACTCACAACGATATCAAAAGATTCATTGCCCACCCTACTAACTGTTTTCAGCATTCTCTGGAACACATTAAAATCTTTCCACAAAAGCACGGGTAAGGATAATAGGGGAAAGTAAAGCATAATAAGTATTACACAAGAATTTGCAAAGCGTTAAAGTACAAGCCGAGTAAAGCAAAAAGTAAACACACTCTTCATATGATAAGTTAACTTTTAATTAAAAGAAAACATTCTTTGATATTACCAAAATATAAGAAGACCAAGAATCAAATCAATGGGAGATACAATAAAACTGAGAAATTTAATGACAGGTTAAAGGTCAATTTATTTATTATTTATTTGAACACATGAATATTGGTACAAGAGAGCGCCAATATATATGCGCCACACAAAACAATGAAAATTCGAAGAGAAGTACAAAAAAAACAAAAAAAAACTAAGGAGCGCAAAAGAAAAAGAGAACAATAACGAAGAGATTGGTGTAAGGTAGTGTGGTAGTAATGAGGGAACGAAAAGGTACAATCAGAAGAAATCTTTCAGGTAAGGGAGACACTACCACTTTTTATGAAGAAAGTAAAAAATTACAGCAGGATCGCCACTGGCTTCTATTCTGAGCCATATCTGATAACGTCTCTAGCCACTGTGTAGCACCATCTCTTAGACCCCAACCAGGGAGTCGTGAAGGACTGACAGAAGCCAGCCCTTTGCAGCTTTCTTTCATACCACGACACCATGTCATGCACTGACCACCTCTCCGCTTCTTTCAACCAGTCCCAGAGTCGGCAAATAATGCACGACGTGGAATTCTCTGGGACGACATTCGTAGAACATGTCCAAGCCACCGAAGTCGGTGTTTCAAGATGGTGACATCGATTGCATTATCATCTCTGTGCCCGAACACACGATGCCGAACCTCTGCATTACTGACATGGTGTTGCCACTGAATGTCAGCAATCCTTCGGAGACAGCGATGAACGAACACAGAGTCGTCTAACGTCCTCAACTCGGAGAGGCCAGGTTTCACAAGCATAGAGCAAAACTGCTCTCACCGACGCGTTGTAGATCCGACCATTTACAGCCAGACTAACATCACGAAGGCGCCAAACGTGGTCCAGCCTGGCATAAGCCGCTCTGGCTTTCACTATACGTGCACTGATCTCATCATTCACGCTACCACCACCACTTATGTAGCTACCCAGATACACGAACTTCTCGACTACTTCTATCTGTTCACCTTCCAGAGTGAGTAAAGGATTAGAATCCTGCCAGTCTTGTAGAAGTACTTTGCACTTCGAAGGTGCAAAGCACATACCATACCTACGGACACTGATTGCCAACTGATTAAGTGCGGATTGCATGGCTTGGAGATTGTCGCACAGTAAGACAATATCGTCCGCATACTCAAGGTCAAGAAGTCTTTCTTCAGGCAACAGATCCACACCGCCATTACTTACATTCATCAGAGCTGTTTCCAGAATGTCATCGATGGCAAAGTTGAAGAGGAATGGTGAGATTGGGCAACTCTGCCTAACCCCACTGCTCGAATGGGAGGACGAAAAGCGAATGTCCGGCGCTTTAACCGGATTCCAAACCAGTGGTGCACATGGGCTCCAGTATCCTGCGGGAACAAATGGCGTATGAACCAATCGTTGGTCATCGGCTACCATGGGATTGCATCTCCTTACGATGCTCCACTGCCTTGTGGGTTAGATCTTTAGGTCAAAGGCTCGGGGTGTGGCCCCCTAGGATAACGACCTGCTTCGGTTTGGGCACCCGGGCAGTGTCACAGCCCACACACAAATGATGAACTCTTTATGTCTATGGAAATTATTTTAAAGGTCAATAATAACCAATCAAAATCGAGGCCTACAGAAAAAGCTGGGAATCATATTTGGAGAAATTCGAACACTTCACCCGTACTTGAAGTTTGTGCTGATGATGTTGTTCAGAAGAACGGTAAAAGTTCCACGACCAAACTATCCAGCTCAAAGAACACAATGTTTTCATCACGAACTAACATCAGCTATAATCCCAGAATGATGTTT